ACATTGAAAGACATGACCCTGAGCAGCATCAAAAAGATGAGGATTACGTTTCTCGTCATGTAAAATCTCATTCAATTGTTCGTCTGTTTCATAAGTAGTTTCGATGATTGAAAACATATTATTTTTATTTTCATGAGTAATAACTCGTTGCATAAGTAGATTCTTTTCGATGTCAAAGTGAAGTGATGTATGAAGTGAGAAATGTTTGTTAATAGTGAGATCAAGAGCATGACGAAGTTGTTTAATTGATAAAGTATGATCTGATTGCAGACGATAAACAAAAGGCATATTGTAGATTGCTATTTGAGGCTTGTCTGGATCGAATCGAATGCGCTCATCAAGCCATATACGAGTTTGAGCATAAGATGCTGGTGCTTCAATGGAGAAACCCGAATATAATATAACTAATACTACCACTTATAAAATATAGAGCGAGAATATTTTAGTGATGATTGAATTGACCAGTAAGTGGAACTATAAGTTGTTCATTATATCAGTATGGTATTGTAGGCTTCTGATGAGTACATAATTAATCAGTTACTAACGAATTTTCCATGCTAGTCTTCGTTTTTACTGTGCTTTTCTATATTAGTCTTTCTTTAAATAATCTATGTTGGTAACAATAATGATGGAGCCGAAAACGTGTGTAGTGATGTTCTGAAACACTAATGAGTGTATGTGTAAGTGTAACACGCTCGAAGTTAATTCTATAGCCTATTCTCACCCATCACCCTTATGATTAAGCATCAATCTACTCATTTAAGTCTTAAATAATATTTCTATTCAAATGATCTAAAAATAGGAACAGAATGAAGAAATAAAGGGAAATCAGACAATGCAAAGACATTTTCAGTTTCGATACATATACTTGAAATTTTTCTTTCGCTTTTATTCAATCTAAGAAGGATGTGGATGTGACTTCTATATAGGCTCATATCTGAACCCACAGTCTTATCCTCGCCATATTGAAAAAACCTGAACTTTGGGATTGAAATGTCTCAATTCATGATAAACATTTTTTCGTCTCAGATGTATATGAAAATTTTTTAGTTTTGATATAAAAGAAGTTGATTTATCAGAAAGTTTTCATTTTCTGTGTATTTTATATGGACTGATCTTAACAGGAACATTTTTTTGTTGTTCTATTTAGGATTAATGTTCCTAATAACAACAAATTCAATGAGACAGGAAATAACGCCAAGACGAAACGCACGTAGGTTGTCATATCGTAAAAGTACTACCAGAAACATCGAAAAAAGAAATCTACAATCTATACTAAGACGTTAATTTAATTGAGCATTCAAGAAGTTTACTAAATTTTCAAACTATTTACTGAACATATAGAAAGTTTTAGTTAGCAAAAATGAACTTAGCATTTATATATTTTTAATTAGCAAAAACATTTTACCCTATTATAAACAATTCTAAAGAATTGTAGTGAAAGTTTTATCTTCGATTTTCATATTAAACGAGTTTTGTCGAGTTTTCAAGAATATACGATATTGTAAAGTGCCAGATTATAGAACTCATATTTTCTATCCTGTTAGTGAATGTGGAAATGGATGAGTGAGCGTCACTGGGGAGGAGTGAGTTTCTGCTTCTTTTTCACCCACACTCACACCCTCAAGATTTTTACAGATCATTCATCACAGATTATCTATTTCTTTATAAACAAAAATAAAGGAGAAAAGAATTACACAAACTTAAGCAATTTTACTAAAAAACAAACTTACCTTCATTAATAATATTCGGTTGTCGACAAAAAACAGTATCTTCAATTTCTTGAGCTTCTGTCGGTAAAATCAAGCTAAGTTTCGATATAGATGCAAAATTTGGATTAATTTCATCAGAAATTGATTTTGATGAAAAAAGTTGATCAACAAGATGATTTAATCTTTCAGATACAGTTATAACTGTTGTCTCATTAAATAAATCACGCGAGCAGGTTAAACAAAATGATAGTTTACTATCATCGGATGTTGGATTGTAAAGACAAGTCAACATAAAATCAAACTTAGCAGCACCATAAGATTGTTGCATTGGTAATTGTTGCAAAGTTGCTGTGTCAATAGACCATTGACTGTTTTCAGAGATAGTAATAAAATTGAACACTGTCTCAAGAAATGGAGCATTTGACTGTTTAAATTGAGAGTCAGTAAGAATCTGTTGTAGTGGATAATGAGAATGTTGAAGAATTGATAAGCATTTTTCTCGCACATGTTCAACAAGTTCATCAAATGACCAGTCAGAATCAACGCGAATACGATATGGTAATGTTGAAACAAACATTCCAATCATATTCTGTAACTCAGTTCTGTATCGATTTGCATTCAGACAAGAAATGCATAAATCATTTTGTCGACATGTTAGCTTGAAAAGAAATGCATAGAATGTAGCTAGACATAGTTGAAATGGTGTGACTTGATGTAAAGATGCATAATTGATACAGGATGTCGAAATATCATTATCAAATGAGATATGAGCAATGGAAGCATGTCCAGATCTTTGATCACTATATAAACAATGTCGATCAACTGGTAGTGACAATCGACATTCTTGATCGTATCCATTTAATTGAGAACGCCAAAATTCGCGTGATAGTGTCATGTCGATTAGACGTTCATGAACACTATAGTCTATATATTGTAATGATTGTTCAACACCTAACCACTTCGTGTTACTATTGTAAATATTACATAGGTCATTTAAAAAAATTGAGCCACTTGATTGATCAATTGCAGCATGATGAAAGCCGATAACGAGAACATCAGAATTTGTAATAATTTCTTTGTCATTATTTTCATGAAGTGTTTTCTGTTGTCTGAGAATTTCACAATAAAAAACACGACCACTTGATAAATCGAACAGATTAGAATTAGTATTTATTTGTGAAATAATGTTGTGAAGTTCAGTTTCACTTTTGAATGTTTGATCGGCAGCCAATGTAAATGTCAGATGTTTATCAGTGACAGATTGTTTTAGAGTACTATCGTCATCATTGAAAACTAGAGAAGTTCTTAATATCTTATGTATGCTTAGAACACAACGAAGAGCTTGCAATAAGCGAGTCATTGATATTGAACCTTTCGTAATTTGTAGAGCAGTTAATTCATTGTAAATAGCAACTTTTCCAAAAAAACGCATTTTCTCATCAAGATATATGCGCTGTTGAGCGTACGATGCAATACCTAAAAATTAAGAGAAAAATATTGTATCATGATGCAGAAGTGCTTCTATATTCCTTACACTGATTAATATGTAGTGTTTGCCATTGTTTTGCTTGTATATTATCGATCTTAATATCTTCTAGTAGTTTCGCATGTTCGGCTATAGTATTATGTTCAAAGAATGGCCGAGTATTTATTGTTTCATTATCAAAATTAAATAACGTTTGATAATATTGATAGATTTCAATAAATAGAAGAGAATGACCACCAATACTAAAAAAGTTTGTTACCATTGAGATTCGATTACAGCCAAGGATCTTACACCATACCGAATGAACTAGCATTTCCAATTCATTATTCGGTTCTATATATTGACGATCGATAACATTAGTTGATAGAACCACGATATCAGGTACTGGAAGACGCTGTCGATCGATTTTTCCATTCGCATTCAAAGGTAACTGTTTCAAGAAGACAAAGATGGATGGTACCATGTATTGCTGTAGATGTTTATTACAATAATTTCGAATTTGTTCAGTGTCGAGCTCAGAGTCTTTTGAAACCACATATGCAACAAGCAGATCATCATTTTGTGCCAGTTTTGTAACAACACAATCGGATATCTTGCCAGGATATGAATTCGCAATTGTATTTTCAATGTCAGTTGTTTCAACTCGTTGGCCACGTATTTTAATTTGAAAATCAGCACGTTCGACATAAAAAAGCTTTCCTTGTGCATTGTATCGAGCTAAATCACCTGTTTTTATATAAACTTGATTGTTTATACTTGTAAACCTGCTTGTGGTAAGTTCCGGATTATTTAAATAGGAGTTAAACAAAGTTGGTCCTTGTGAAAAATACATAATATAAAAGAAAAAGAATCGGAATGGATGGTACTTACCTTCTATATGAATTTGACCAATTTTATTTGAGTTATCTTTAGGATTAATAATTTTACCATCATCATCGATTAGCAAACATTGGATAGTTGGGAATGGATACCCAATAGGAATATTTGGATCTTTGATATTTAACAAATGACATCCAAGAACCATACCACTTTCAGACGTACCATATAGAACACAAATTTGAACATTGGAAGAACCTAACAAATTAACAAATTGAGTCCATTGCTGTGGCTTCATTGCTTCACCTAAGTTATATAAGATGAGTAAAAACTAAGATGTCAAAAATAAATTAAAAGTTTATTATTACCTATCGTACACAAATAGCGCACAGTATCGAATGTTTTCGTTTGCTGGCTATTTTCAATATAATTGGTAAGAGCCCGAATTATTACAGGACTTATTGTTAGTATTGTTATTTGCTGATGCATTAGAGTTTGAGAAAAATAGGCCACATCGAAAAGACCACCTTGTCGCAGAAGTACAAGAGTACCACCAACGGCTAATGGCAATGAGATTTCCCCAATATGTATAATCCATGAGCATGTAGCAACTTGAAGAACGTGATCTCGAGCAGTATATACACCGACGTCCCATCCACTAAGAGCAGCAATACTAGCCGAACAACTTTTATGTGTATGAACAACTGCTTTTGGTGGTCCAGTGGTACCTGAAGTAAAAATGATGAATGCAGCATCATATTCCCTAGAAACTGGAAGATCACTCATGACTTCGATATCCGATAATGGAGAAAGAATATTATCCAATACAATAACATGCTGAACAGTTGCTATTGGAAATTGATTAAGTGTTTTCTCATGTACTAAGACATATTGACCTTGCATTTGTTCGAGAATTATATTGAGACGACCAGGCGGCAGTATTGGATTTAGTGGACAATACACTCCACCTATAAATATGATGGCCAAAAAGCCACATATCATCTCAAAACTTCGCTCAACGAATTGATAGATTATGTGACCTTGAACTACGCCTAAGTGATGTAGTTGATATACAACACGTTCTACTTGCATAATCAACTCGCTATAAGTCCATACTTGATCGTCAAGCACTATTGCTACCTTCTGAGGATATAATTGAGCAATATTAAATAAATTGCGTATCGTATAGTATGATGTTGTCATATTTGAATTAATTTGTTGAAAATTAAAATCGAAAGCTTAATCTAGAAATAGTCGACAAAAAGATTCATACAAACAGTCTCAGTTTATAAAAGGGATCTTAAAAGTCCAAGAGAGTTAGGATCGTGTCTATTTTCTTGGCATGAAAATAAAAAAATATCTTTAAAAAGAAATATCTTATTCGACGCACACAGATGTAGGTGTCTTGTGTCTGTGATACCTACATCCACATCCACACCTATACTTCTAGAACTTTCTAGACTGTTCTCCGAAGTTACGAAAAAAAACCAGAAAATTTTTTTACCAACCCAATATAATCTAAAGTAAAATAAAATAATGTAATATAATAATAAATTTAAATGACAAGTAACGCTTGCGCGGAGACCTGCTCAGCTCTTTCTCGTAGAAATGATATTTATAATAGAGCTAAAGACTCTCTTTAAAAGACCTCTCTTTGTCCACAAAATAATTCTCAAAAAAATTAAAAAAAACTAACGTCAGATTCATGTTCCTCGACTTCGATTACCCTTCGGTCAAAGTTTATGGAAACTAATTGTTCATGTTTGCAAGACTCTTCTCTACGAGAACGAGAATATTAAATCTTCCTTTTTGTCACTCTATCTATTGAGAAGATGTTCTCTATTAATAAAAAAATCGAATAAATACCTGATAAAGAGCAATATTAATAAGATCATTTTTAAAATGTTTAATTGATGGTAAATTTAAAATAGGTGGTAAACGTTCTTTTAATAAATGAATATTATAATGTATTAATGAAATATTTAATTTTTGCAAAATATTTTCTAATTTATCATGCCATAATTTATTTCATTGTTCTGTAAAAAGATAAAATTGATGTCGAAGAGTTTTTTTGTTTTGATGGATAATCATTAAAATGAAAATTTATTTTTGAATGTTATCTTGATAAAAACCATTAAGATTAAATTGACTTGAATTTTGTAGAATTTCAAATTCATATTTATTTTATTTAATTGTACTTTCTGATGATATTTGTTGAAATAATTCATTTAATAATTTTGTTACTAAGTAATGAATGTGTTAAAAATGTTATTTCAATCAAATTTTTCATTAGATTTTGATCTTCATTAGTTTTAATTATTTTTAAAATTTGTGGAAAATTTCTTGTCCATTGAAGTGTAAAAGAACTTTATCCAAATAATTGTTGAATTAATATTGAACCATAAACAACTGTAAGTTCATCATCTTGACATGGGTTAAGTACAGATGAACTATTAGATATTAATTGATCAATTATTTCTCGAATATAATTATTGGAATTTTTATATAATAAATTTGATAAAGAAAGTTCTCATTCAAGTAAACAATCATAATGATGAAGACGAGCACCATGATAAGTCAAACTTTTGAATCCAATTTGTTTTTTTTTGTGAATATTGATGGATATGATAAAGATTGAATATCAATTCTTGGTGAATCAGTTGCTAACAATTCTAATTAAAGTAGTTCACTTCTTCCATCACTGCTCTTAATAATAATTGAAGAAGAGTTAAAAATTCTAAACGATCATTAATTGATAACTGACTAAAAACAAAAAAAAAAGAAGGAGGATTAAAGAATTGTTTTAACATTTTTTTGGTTTCTACGAACGGTAAGACTATTTTAATAAATGATTGAATTATTTTTTTAACTTTCATCAATTTGTTTTTGATCAGGTGGTTGAATCTAAACAAATATTTTAGATTTAAATAAGAAAAGAAGAATTTTATCTACCATCATTAGAATTTGATTCGTGTGATGTTGCTGTCCATTGTACTAATGGATAAAGAACACTATCTAATGTATTACAATTTTTAATATAAATTTCTGAATCAGATAAAAATGGTTGTTCAATTGACATTGCAACATCATGTTTTGATCTTTAAAATAAATAAAATATTTTTGATATCTCTTCTCAATCTTTTCCTTAATTATAAGAATTAGGTTGAGAAGGGTACCGGTAATTCTAGATAATTAGACATTAGATTTCGAAAGATATGTTAAATTAACCATTTAGTACGAAAATGAAACATACTGATTATCAAAATGAATTTTTTGAAGATTATAACATTTTTCCATCCATTGATCATATTGTCCAAATGGATCAATAAGAAGTGGAGGATATTCAATTGATGTAATAATAATTGTATGGTTTTCCATTTCTGATGGTAAAACTCCGTCATTTAACCATTCATAATATATTTGATCACCTAATAAAAATTTCAGTAAAGAAAATAACATTTGAAGATATTCAGGTCCACCAAATAATTTCTGTTCGTCAAATATCTAAAAAGAATTTTTTTTTATAATTTTTCGAATTAAAATAAAAACTCATTTACTTGTAATAATTTTTCTTTAATAGGATCTAATTGCCAATTTATAATTGGACCTTTAATACTTGATATTTGATCAAAAACAATAGTCATTCCTCTATCTCTAATGCATTCAATCCAATGAACAATTAGCATGAGACATCGAAATCCATATGTATATGGGCCAAGATAAATTGAAAATGCTGATGCAATTGCACATGTACCATTTAATCTTGATTGACGTTCTACGCTTGTTTCAAATATTTTACTTATTCGTTCTAATTATCGAGATAAAATCTACAAAATTAAATATTTAAATTTATTTTGATTTTATAGAAAAATATTTAAGAAATTTTCAACAAACTTGATTTAATTCAGATGCATATTTTAAATGATTTTCTTTCATTGTTGTGAAAGATCTTTTAAACGAGCTTCTAACGCCTAATCATATATATTTTATTTTAATATAAAAGCCTTAAGAAACAATAGGAAACTAACTTGACTTTTATTATCTAATAAAATTAATTTTTGATCTTGTTCTAATACATCGTCTTCAATTTCTTTATATTTCTGTTGTATTGGTCGAACTTTTTTAAGTAAAACTGTATGATATCTATATGAAATAATAATAGTGATAAAATTTTTGTAAATAACTAACTGTAAAACTCGTTTAACCCATTTATAAAGTGATGTATTTTTAAGTTGAAAATTATTAATAATGGCACTAATTAAATTAATATGTTCTTGTGTTAAATTAATTTTATCAAATAATTGAGTTTCTTTAATAAATCTATATAGATTAGCTAATTGTCTTATCGCACCTTTTTGCCATGTTATATCAGCTGTTGAAGATTTTACTATTATTAATATAAAATTTTACAAAAATATAAAAATCAAAAAAATATTCGAAACTTACAAATCATAATAATAGCAGCTAATGTATCTTCAACTGATTTTTCTGCTTTAGTAACTAATCTTAATTCTTGTAAAGTTTTCATATCAAGTTGTTCAATTAATTTTCTTGCATCAGTTATAATAGTTAAACATTTATAAAGATTTTTTTCTTCTGTTAATTCATATTCAGATAATAATCGTTTTAATTGAACTATTAGTTGTGTTTGAGATTTATAAGCACGAATTTGTTGTTCAGCTGTAATCATATCTTGACCTATTTGAACTAACATACGTACAGTACTCTACAAAACCAGAACTTTAGATTTGATATCGAAATTTTAATAAGAAAATTTTATACTTTAAGTCTTTCTTCAAGTATAGCTTTTTTTTGTTATAATTCTTTTTCTAATTTAATTGATGTTTCGTGTTGATATTGAATTTGTTCAAGAAGACATTGAACATCACAATGATTTTCATGAATATTTGATGATTTGTCATTGATTGGTTTTACAAATCTAAATGAAAAAGTTTTCGAATTCGAATAAATGTGCTTTATTTTCAATTACTTTTCAACAAATTTCACAAATGTATGATTATTAATATATAATAATTTCTGTATAGGATTTTGATTTGTTCGTCGAATTGAAAGATGCATTGTTGCAAGAAGATGAGCTGTATTTTCACTTTTATTTTTATCCAACTATTGAACATCTTTTTTTAAATTTAAACAAAAAATATTTTCCATGTATAATTAAAACAAAAATTGATTATTAAACCTTTTAAATGATAAAGACCATTTTGTACAAGTATTTCAGTATTCCAGTGTTTCCAGTAAATTAATGTTATATTATTAAAATATTGATGGATAATTAAGACATGATTTATCATTTATTTCATTTACTAAAATAATGACACGAATATTTTCTTTAACATTTCTATAAATATAAAAATTATTTTGTTAAATTCTATTAATTATATATATGAAGCATTTAATGTAAAATCCGTTTTAAATTCAATTAAATGTTCATCATATTTTTGTGAAATCGATGAAAGAAAACTGGGTTCATTACAATATGTATTTTTATCTTTTTGTTTGAAATGAATTAGTTAATGATGATAATATAAGTTGAAGATATTTATAAAGAAAAAGAAAATTTTATTTTTGAATTTGACCTTTAATAAATGAATATTGTTCCTCAGTTTTTCTTTCATAATTAAAAAAAGATAAATCAGATGTAATTAAATCATTTGGTTAATTTTCTTCTAAAATAATATATATTGATAACGAGACTTTATATAAAAATCAATAACATCTTGAGGGTGTGTAGGATCAATATGATTCACCGTTCTATTGAACCATTTAATTCAATATCATAAGTTTTTATATTTGCTGATGCTTCAATTATTTCAAATAAAATATGTAAAAATTCTTCTGTATAATATGTTAAATCTAATAATACATATAACAAAATAATATCAATCTAAAATAAATACACAAATAATTTAATATAAAATTGAATTAAAGATGTGTTATTTGTCGTCGAGGTTTGTTTTAATTTGAATTTGTTTTTCTTCTTGAAGAATTTTTTGAACAGATATCATTTTTTGCAATTGTTTCATATTGTTCTTTTGTATTTGTTAAATATTTTTATCTTTTGATTTTGATTTCTATTAATTTTAAAAAAATATTATAAAATAAAATAAAATAAAAAAATAACAAACTTAATCTTATTTTTGATTAAATGTTTGTCGATATAGAATTATTTTCATTGATTTTAATAAGCCAAATAAATGTGTACCAGATATTCCACATTTAATCGGTAAAATACTTTCATTTGCTTTCCGACTTAAAATAAATGATAAATAATTATCTCTCATTTTCTTTTTCACACTATATACACGAATCTCATAATATTGCGAAGAATCTGGATATATGCTCAATTTTATAAACATTTATAGGAAGAAAGCTTCTTAGTTATTTTAAATATTATTATCTTACCTTCAAGTATGAAACAAAATAGATGTGGACTTTTTACTTTTTCTTCAAACTTAAATATAAGACTGCAGTTATATTATCAAGTGAATGGATATATTTTTGAGTGCATCTATGCTTTTAGTAATTACACTATTCAGTAAGTGTAAGGTATTTAATTTTTACATTTAAGTACGAAGAATGATCAATGCATATTGTCTTATTGCTTCACTGATTTTGAACTCAATATAACCTTGTCGTATTATAACAAAAATGCATATATCTTTCAATGCATTCATCATTTTACCAATCATATATCTTGATCACAATACGCTAAGACTAAAATAACTTCAGATGAATCGAAACTGTAAACTTACATGTCTTGCTCATCTTTTGTACATTAGAATACAAAACATGTAATATGAAGAGTTTCTTATAATCACAATTTATTTTTCGTGATATTTAACTAGAGGGAAGTCATTTGTACTTACTTATTTCTGTGTTGTATGTTCTTCGCACTGTACTTTTTTTTGTTAATCTTCTATTTTTCACTTATTATGTTCTTTTCATTAATTCAATTCTCATCTTAGTAAAATGATAGTCAGATTTAATAGACTGATTATTTTTTAATTTATAACACTTAAACTTTTCATTAAAGAGTTAGTTGAAATCATTATTGTTCGCTATATTTATAACATTTGTTTACTTTCAATCTAAGAAACTGTGATCTTTTTCACAAATATGATACTTTTGAAATAGTAGTTACTTTGAGACTAATTGAGAAATAAAATCCTACATATACATCAAATAATTCATATCACAAAATCAATATTTATGAATTTAATCTGACCTACTATATTTTTCTGTATACTCATGGAAGATATTAGTATATTACTGTTCACGTATCGTTTCAGAATAGTTTAACAATTATATCTGTATATTTTTTATTTTCATGATAATTACTCTATTTTCGAATTGTTGTTATGTCATCATTCTGATATTATTAAGATATTCAGGAATGTATCGTTAGAGTTTGATGACGTTTGTTCATTGTCTACAACTGGTAGATAAAAAAATATAAGCAATTTAAACTAGATGGTATTCGAGTTTCACTCGTCTACAAAATGCGAAGCAAAGTAGGACTTCGAAATAACGATTTTAAGATTTTCACAACATTATATAGATGATTCATTATCTATTATCAGCTGCAGTTTCAGCTGTAAAACAGTTGCTATAGAAAAGTCACACCTAACTTTTGCTTTTCGTTTTAATTATCTCGAAATCAGAAAACGTCTGATTCAATTTCGATCTTGATATATTAATCTCGCATTTAAACGGGTATTTTTTGATGTTCCATTGCTGAGATAAATGCGGCAGAAAATGATCACTTTGAATGCGTACGCCGAAAAAGTAAAAAAAAGAAAACTCGCGAGGGACTACATAAATGCTTCGCATCGCATTAAATACGAATACATGGTGCAAATACAATAGAGCTGACGAACCATGCTATTGTTATGAAATCTTCCTTCGTATACAAATGAATGTAGTTCTTGAGGGTGTGGATGTGACCAGCTACTATGCTGGATTTCAATCTTGCTTAAAGATCAAGCTTAACTTCCATTAAATTTTAAAACCATTTTTAATTGATTCAAGGTAGGCAAAATTGATGATAATCACTTCGGTATGGAATAGGAATTGCAATTTCAGAAAAAGTCATTTGAAATCAGGAAAATTGAAACGTATTAACAAAATATGTGTACGAAGAATTTAAAGTGACTGTGATATTCAGAGAAATGAGATAGGATGTTTGTTTGTTTCCTGAAAGTAAAACAGAGTGTAAGTGTCTCATACGTATATTACTCACACCCTTCAATCTATGATACAAATATATAAATGCAACACAGTAAGATTTAGACTTTATGATTTTACTAGCAATTCGGATACATTTTACATTAAGATATCGTCAATAGATTTAATATTAACGTTCTTTAAAAAACTTGTTATATATGACTTTCTTTAAACGAAAGAACATTTGTAGTAGATAATAAAGTACACACAAACAAATAAACGAAAAAGAAAAACACCATCAACAATAACAACAAACAACATTGACTAAAAATACTTTCAATTTGATTTCATCAAAAAGCAGTAGTTCCATTCCATCCATTAAGAAAATACTGTTGACTATCGACAATAACTGATGTATGATGATATGGATGTTCTGTTGGATAATTTGCTGATACATAATAATTATTTGCTGGTGAATAAAATTCAAGTTTTTCTGTTGGAAAATTTGTATCATAATCAATTAAAGCTAAAGGATGATGATGATGATGATGATGAAGATGTTCATCATCTAAACGAAATCGTTTATTATTAACATCATATGTTGATATTCGTTTTTGATCATAATAGATTGATTCATCTGAAGTGTGAAATGGATTTGGATAAGTATTAGTTGCTGCTGCTGCTGCATAAAGAGCAAAATTTGAATAATTTGCTTGAGAATTTTGATTATAATAATGTTCATCAGTATTATAACATATTGTTGGTGGATAATCATCTATTACTGCTTGATTTAAATCACTTTTTGTCGATGATAATTTTCGTTGTTTTATTGTACGATTTGGTTTAAGAATTTTTGAAGAACTACGATTTGATGATAATGAAGATGTCGAATTTAAACTTGTATTAGTCGATGAAGATTTTTCAGTATCAATAGAATTTGATATTAATGTTTGTCTTGAACGAAGATAATCCGATGAAGATTTTTCAATTTGATCAATTGATAATTGTAAATGTTTTGCTTCAATATCACTATAACAAATTTCAAATAGTTTTTAATAAAAATTAATAATATATAAAATATACCTAAGTGCATAATTTACACTAACAATCACTTCAGGTCGAGATGATCGATTATTATGAACAAGTGTTGCATAACTTTGCACTAAAATTGTAAAAGAAAAAAAATATTTAGATAAAATTTAAATAATTAGAAAACTTACTCCATATCCAACCACCATTTTTTGCAAGAAAACGATAATATCGAGTTGTCACTTGTCCTTTAGTAAGTACTAAAAAAAGATATATGAATTTTAGTCCGTAGAGAATGTATCCGTCTATTTGTTCAAGATACATACAAACTTGATGAGCCCATCGTAATGCCATTAAATCTTGTGTATGTACATAATGATATAAACTTCTATCAACTAACTCTTGTGGTTCATATCCTGTTATTTGTAATACTCTAAAAAAAAAAATTTTTTTTTCAAATTAATTATTCAATTTTTTTTTACTGTATTACCTTGAATCGAGAAATAATAATTTTAAATCTTGTCCTGCTCGAAACATAAACATATTTGAATGAAGACGAATTTCAGTTATTGAACAACTTGGTATTGAATATCCATAGGCAACAAGACCAACATTTTGATAACAACCACCACCATCAGTACTATTGACATTATTTGTTGAACCATAACATGATATTGTATCAAGATTAAATTGTTTTACTTTAAGATAACCTGAACAATGTATAACTTTAAATCCACTTGCTGTTAATCCAGCATTACGTTTAGCCAAAACACATTTCATACGTATAAAAAATGAACGTTCTATTTCATATTCACTATTATTTGTACAATATGTTGGTAATGGTGCTGTTAAAACATTGGCCATTTCTTCATGATCAACTGGATGTATATATTCATAGATAGAATTTCCTGTTAATTCAACTTGTGATAAACCTAAATGTGTTGATGCTGTTTCAGATATATACATGATTTTACCATCGGGACCAACAACAAATAAAAATCCATCAAGAAACTAATCACAAACAAAAAAAAATGAACAATACTAAATTAGTTTTTTTTCATAATAACCTGAGTTAATTGTGAATTAATTTCACGTTCAATCGTTGTCTGTGATGATGATCTTGAACCCCATGCACTGCCAAGACCTAGATATATAATATTCGATTACCATTTATAATCAGGTAAATAGCGGTAACGAAAAAGCTCATCATCTATGTGTGAATTTTTTTTTCTCTCTCTTCTATTTCTGATGCGTTACCGGGAAAAAACATCCGGATTCATTTCAAACCGATCTGATCAAAGTAAAGAGAGAAGCAACGATTGGAACCAATATATTTCTTCTTCGTTTTTAATATATAAAGTTGTCATGCTCAGCAAACAAACCCTTGCTATTCTAATTGTTCCTCTTTTTCTCTTCCTCTCTCTCTATCGAATTACACGAGAAAATGAATTCGCCTAATTTAATTAAAATGTGTATACACCTCTTCTCTATTGTGCTTATCTAATCATATCTATTATTGAATTTTTAAATAAATATTCGAAAAATATAAACACTATAATTTTATTTCTCTTCATAATCATATTCGTCATGGTTTAAAATGATCTATAACAAAATTTTTGATAAATGAGTATGTTAAAAATATCGATATTGTGTCAATGACATCATCATAGCGGGATAGAAATATATGAAAACTCGTTCTAGATCATTAGTATTACCTTCGGGTATAATAGCACGCATTTTAAGATAACTTGTTGTAAGACGAATAACTGATGCTTTATCCAATTGATCAGTAATTGCATGTGGTATTGGTAAAAGTTTTGCTAATTCAAAAAATTCGGCATTTTCTTTTTCACGTCGACTTCTTGCAGCATTCTTCGATTTTTCTTTCATTGCTTCAATTCTATTTAAAAAGAAGAAAATGATGAGTACACACAACAGAAAAAAAAAACAAACTAGTGAGAAGAAGAACAATAATTAATCACAAATCACTCACACTGATCTGTGAAAAAAGAATTCGAAATTAGAATAGGTGTTACGATAAGGTAACGAACAATAATCTATCTATTGTCTTCTATAACCACAGGAGGTGTTTTTCTCTCTCGCTCTCTCGGAGATTCTTTTACCTGTCACGTATAGGAATATAGATGTGCGGATTGTCATAAAAACGAATGAATTTTATCTCGAATGAAGCAAAAAAAAACGAGACTGAGATTGAAACAAATTAGCATTGTTAACTAAAAAAAAAGAAAAAGTTTCAGATACTACTTGAATGCATCCATCTCATTTGACACGCGCACATCATTTATATATTATTTCAAAGGGGCAATCATTTTTTTTTTCGATATTAATTGGCTCAATTCTCTAACGAAATTCAATGCTTGTTAAAGAGAGAAAATAATATACTTACTGAAAAAGAAAAAAAAAAAGAGTCTATCGTTAAATTGATTAATAAATATAAACAACAACAACAACGGTTTATTAATCCGCTGCTGATGCGATACACATGAAATGTCTGTCTTTTTTCTTTCACGAGTGAGAAGATTTGTTTTATCTATGTCCGTTATACTCGCATTTCTATTCGTTGATTTCATTTATATGCGTTCTTTTTTCTTCTCTCTCTCTCTCTCGCTTTATAAGATGCTATTCGAGCTGAATATCAAGCATTTTTTAATAAATAAAACTTGTATGCTTAGATATTAAAGATTGTTAGGATTTATAAAAGTTTGCTGATATAAACTCGATCACACTGTAGAAAAAAAGTAAGAAAATTTCTTCTCATATAGTAAAGTCAAGTTAACATGTGGAAGTAAATCTAATATCTTTATCACTTGAGCATGACAAAATCTCGTTAAGTTATATATATGAAGATGGATAGTTTATTTGCCTGCTCTATCAGTATTTTATATTACTATTCATATATCTCAGTAGCATCGATTACTGTTTTTGATTAATTTGCTCAAAAGAATAATGTTAACTTTTCTCACATCAATCGAATGTATATCGGCAATGATGAATAAAGAAAGGAATTAGAATGAGATTAACATGATGAGACAACAGGTTGAACATAAAAAACAAGCGGTAGTTGAATCTCTTAACAAACGAATATGATCGTCGTCTTCTACTTATTTCAATTATCAAAATATTAATTGAATTATTTTTTTGAAAATAAAAAAAGAATTTCTTTTCTTATAATATTTATAGAGACATGATATTTTGCATATATTGTCAAATCTTATTGTTTTGATATTAACACATCAGAGAATGTTTGTCAATTGAAAAAGAAAGAGAGAGAGAGAATGAGCTACCTATATCGACAACGAAAAGTAAATATACACATTCAATGAAAAGAGACATTGATCAATCGATCTAGTCATAGATTAACAAAAAGTCAACATAATTATTATAAGCACAATATATGAATAAAACGTGTGTCGAACAAAATATCTATAGGTTTCAAATTTGCATGCGAAACACTTGAAAAATACGCATCGAAGAAAATGTATGGATTTAAATATTTTTTTGATATTGAACTTTAATTAGAAAAGAATGTTTATAAAAAATACAAGATGTCCTAAAAGTTTCTCACTTTGTTTTTGAATAATATTAATTATTATTAACTTATTTATAGTGTCTACAAATTTTTATTGCAATTATCTTTGATCGATATGAAAAAATAATCGAGCCATTTTATTATTTAGAACGCTTCATCTACAGGGTTTATAATTTTAAGAAATTATTCTCAGCGGCGGATCTAGAATTTTGGAGGGGAGGGGCGATTTCGGCTAAGAACTATTTTTGGGTTCAATCGGAGTAGTGTGAACCTATTTTTTCGTTCATTTTTGCTGTAAAAATTCTGAAGAGAGGGGCAACGGTCTTTCTCTAAATCCGCCACTGATTATTATATATTTTATATAGCTAACATCGTTTTTATCAAAATTGTGTCATATCGTACAGAGGGCGCTGATAGTTTGATACATGTCATATTTCCTGAAGAGGGATTTATTAAATGACAAATGATTTTTTTGCATATATATATATTCATGTGAAAGAAAATTTTGTAGGAAGACTGGAAGTCCAATCGACGAAATGATCAGTGACGAATCTAGGATTTTGGAAGGGAGGGGGTGATGTTGGCTAAAAACTATTTTTGAGTCCAATCGAAGTAGTGTGGACCTTTTTTTCGTTCATATTTCCTGTAAAAAATTTCGAAGTGAAGGGAGCGATGGGGGTGATCGTCCCCTCCCTAAATCCGCCACTGGAAATGATTACGAGTAAAAATAATTCTTGTGAAGAACCATCTTTAATTTTTGAATTTTCTAAGAGTTAATTAATAAATAATTCCAACCTCGATCCTTTATTTAATCTTATACACAAAATTGCCATATATATTAATGTAAAAACACCTCGACTCCTTAACTTTTTGAAGTCTTCATTTACATCGATCATAATCTCGTATACTATATGGATCTTTTCTTTGAAGCGGACGTATCAAAAACCAATATTCTTTTGCAAACCTCATTTAAAATAATATTAGAAAATGTTGACATCATTATTTAGTATAATGTTGCATATGTGGAATTTGTAAGTAAAAATAGATCACATTTCCTCGTATAATATAACATTGATAAACAATTTAAAACAAAAATCATATCATCTAAAAGTCACGTTCTGTTATTATTCCTAATTCTCAAAGAGTGGTTAAGAGATCAGTCATCATTAAACGATTAAATCATTAGAGTAAACTCAACAACAACGAATAAAAGATATCTAAATATTTTTGACAAATAACTATGCATACAATTTAAATATATACATGTTTATAATTGATCAAACAAAACATTGATAAATTTAAAAGACGAAAAAACTACTTAACTGTAGATAGAACATCTATACCGCATAATCTAAGTAGAAAATCTATTTGAAATAATGTATAGTTCATTATTTACTCGTTTTTGCTGATAAAACAAAACGAATAGTAGAAAAACTCTACCCGTCAATCTACGATTAAGTATCTTTAAAGGAATTCAGATATTTTGAAATACAATAAATTTACCTTCGTAGGTAATTAATAGAACAAGACATTTCTTAATCATAACTCTTTCAATAGATTAATTCCAAAGGAAAACATAGACTTTATATTTCAGAATCTGTCTACTTCTAATACGGTTTTTTTTAGAATATACCTGTCAACATCATTAGTAGCCATATTTGTATCATCATTAGTATGCATTTGATGAGTCGATGTTTGATTTTCGTTGTTTATATCGATCATTGGTTTTTCGTGTTTCTATATATAAATGGTGGGCAAGAAGATTTTGTGTATTGCACACAGTCACATTATGATCATATTCAGGTAAACAATCGTTGTCTTCGCTTGTTGATTGCTCGTTTGACTAGGTTGTCAAATAGTTTTGTCAAGGAATCACGTTCAGCAAAGTTCAACGTCCGTTCTCATTTACCGTTTAACTTTTGTTTTACTGCCGCCGCCAGAGAAAAAGAAGAAGAAAAAAGAGAAGACACAATCGATCTACGACGTTAGTTTTTCTTTCTTCTCAATATAGAGAAAAAAAAGAGACTAATGACAATATTTAATCTCTCGCAAGAGGGAGGAGTACACATACATGATGAACATAAGAGAGAGAAAAAAAAAGAGAAAATCGATTTTCTACCAATCATATAAAAGACAATTAGCCAATAAAGAGATTTTTAGAAGAGATTTTTAAGTTAAAATCAATGAGAAAGTAATTATTTCATCTATAATTCACAATTTAGTGATATTGAGTAAATATGACACCGTGCGTTAGTACCATCATCATTATTAAATGTTCATTCTTTTCTTTGTTGATTGAACATGACAAATTCTTAATGTATTTTTTTGCTTACCTATAATATTGGGTGATAGACGACAGTAAAAGTGAAAGAGAATTATATATCTATATATATTTTTTCTTCTTTAGATGTTGAATGTGAAATAGGAAACTGTTTACCAATCATTTACGAATGGCATCAATAGTGTGATTTCTGCTATGATACGATATGTTTCACAAACAGGATGTTGAAATTTAAACATCCGTTGTCTAAAAAAGACATATCCTTGGAAAGCTAATATGGATAACATTTCTTCACACATACATATAACATTAGTTTTAATTATCAACAAAATGATATGAAACTAGCTACAACGACTTTTGTTTTGCAATGATATTAACTAATGGTTCTTAATGTTTTCTTCTTAGTAGAAATTTCTATGATTAACTATATTGAAAAATATTATTGAAGTTTTTATTAGTTGATTTTTGTCACATATTTGATTGAATAAGATACGAGAAGTGAATAGTTAAGACATAATGTATAATCAATGTAGATATCTTTTAATGCATAGAATAATCATAGATCTATCATTTTGAGAAAGAACGTGACGGTCTTAATTTGATTTGTTGAATACAATATAAATATGTCAAAATCATACATAAACAGAAGAATATAGTGAGAAATATATATATGTTGAAAGAAAATAGCAGATTGAGCAAGATTTCAATCGATGTAATCGATTTTAGGACTTGTATAGTTGAATAAAGTGGCCGAGAATAACATGATGTTTTTCAGAATTCCATAAACAATCATATGATTCTATATCACTTCAATACGTTTTACATATTCAAACATCTGACTTTACTTAAAATTAGAGTTTTAGCAATAAACCTGAATTCTAGAGGTGAATGATACAATCTTCTATTTAAGCTTATAGATCTTAAATAATTTTAAATTTAAAGAACTTGCCAGTTTTCATAGACTGTTAAATACATAAATTGCTATTGGCACGTTGATGTACACACACACACAAGGATATCATATATCGATGCGATTAAGGCCCCCCCTCCACCTTAATTTCTATTTTCGCTTCTGAACATCCAATCTTGCTGAAATTTTCAGGGGAGTTGTGTCCCATGATAGGTATCTCACAGTAAAAATTTCAGCTCAAAATATTGAGTCTAACAAGTTTTACCTGCAGATTACTGGTCAAAATGGTGGGGTCCGGGTTTCCCAAATCCTGTTGCTATCTTAAACGCTAGAAAGCTCGGGTTTGTTTTAAAATATACCAAAAACCTAGCACTACAACTTAACAGAGCCGGAATTTTAATTTTCCTTTTTAATTTTTTTTTGTTGCAGTTTTTCCTAAGGTGTACGATAATGATAGGGCATGTACTGTGATAGATTTTGATGTCATGAGGTATTAAACAAAAAATCTGAAATTTCGGCTCTGTTAAGTTGTAGAGTGAAGCATTCTCTTCATTTTGAAACCAACCCGAGCTTTGTACCATTTACAATGGCGAAAGGATTTGGGAAATACGAAAGTGTTAAAAAAAAATCGCATCATGAGAAAAATGTGAAAGAATCGTGAGAAGTGAAATTGATGACGTTTCTGTGGTAACATGAAATGAAATACATTTTTCATTGATTTCTCACAAATCATTGGTTAGAACAAGCTCAGCAGACACATGCAGAGAGTGGGTGTAGGTGTGAGTATTGCGTTAACCTTATTTTGACACCCACACTCACCCTCAGTTGTTGCAAAATGTTATTTTCGAGAGTAGGGGGTTTCTGAAAAATCGATTTTTCGTCGTGAAAACTCATCATAAAAGCAATGAATTATAGTGCGTTCGATAGCTGACACTTTGCTCTATCTAACGCACTATAAATCGAAAAATCGAAAAATTCGACATTTAGGGTGGGGGGGGGGCCTTAAAGTTGGAACAGGCAGAACAAATAGAATCTTCATTCAAAGAAGATAGAAGATCGCAAATTTTATAATCTTGATAAAAAAATTTAGTCCGTAGATGTATATGACTGACATAATCATGAAGTTCAATTTCGGCTATAGTGTAAGTCAAATCATATACAGTAAAATCTCTATTAATGAACATATATCTCAGCATTGATTCTAAAAAAACTTCCTTTTTTCAGTCACGTTTGTGTCATGGTGACGAAACATCATCCATGTTCATTGAAACAATAAGGATGGTCAGATAACAGCACTTTCTAGGTGCTAGTTAATAACTGTAACTGTATTTTCTTACTTCTCAGCTAGATAACAAGTCATTTAGTGCAGATTCAAATGAATTCTAATACAAAAGAGATCTAGTTATCAGCTATTTATATTATTAGTCTAAGATCATATACATATACGAGTTCATTCAATACAAAATCTTCATAATAATGTAATTCGTTTGCCTGAAATTAGTTTCAATTATAAAATATATTAATATTAAGATAAAACAACATAGAAAGTAATTTTATTTTGCAATAGAAATAGCTCTAACCATTTACAGAAGAATGACAAAAAGGACAGATATCAAGACGAGCCATTTCATTTTGTAATGCACGGTGTTTACAAGCTGGACAGATCCAAAAAGCATATTCAATAATCGGTCGACCAGTAACAATACATGGTGGAAAGCGCCAGTCACATTGTGGACAATTTAAACACCTAAATAAATACAAAAACGATTTTCTTTTGTCGATAATGACACAACATTTATCACAGATCTAAGTTTAACTACTACTATGAAAATCACTTTAACTTATAACATTTAACATTATCAAGATCACTTTTCAATTATAGTCTGTATAGAATAGTAAGGAGAAAAGTTCTTTTCAATAACATACCAATCATTAATTCTATGGCTACATTGTGGGCATTGTCCCGAGAGTACAGGACGTTTATCTTTTGGTTGTGAGCTATAAAAATAATAATAAACGAAACATATCAAACCATTTGAGAATTAAATAACACAAAGAAGAGAGAGAAAAAAAAGAAAAGAACAAAAAAACATCATAATGATTTACTAAAATATCCTTTAATCCCGACAACAAATGTAACGAGTATTGTCATGATTAAAACTCCAATAATCATTCCACCAAAAACATACGTTAAAATTAAATTTGTATATAAACAATTTGAACGTCTTTTAGCTTCATCATTATATTGTTGATTATTTTTTTTTAATATTTTTCGAATTTTAATCGATTGAATAAGACAAACAATTCCAGCAATCATCCAAAAACAAGTTAAACAAGCAAATAATGATTGTTTAAAATAATCATTTATTGGTGGTTCTTGAATTTTTATATGATTCTTAATTGAAGCTGATTTTTCTTTTTCAACATTATCAGATCGATCAGATCTTGGTGTTAATTGTATAATTGGTATACGATATTCTTCTTGTTCATTATTCCAATCATATGTATGATTTTGATGAGATTTTGTCCATGGAACAAGGGAATTTTTATTCAAATTATGTACATGAAGTGGTTGTTGATTTGTATATGTCATTGTAAAATGGCAAATGCAAATGTGACTTGCAATACAACGCTCACAATACGAAAGACAGAACAAAACAAAAAAAAATAGACAAAGTGTGAAGAGAAAGAAGAAACAAAAAAGAAATGATATTTAATGTGATTTCCTTTTTTACATACCTAAGAAATATTTGAAAGGCCAATTTTTGATATTCCTTTCGATCTTCTTCATTAATTGATGAATCATCTTCAAGTTTAAGAAATGCTTTACTTGCCGTACTAAATGCTCCACATGACGTCGCACAAAGTGCTAAATATACAATAAAAAAAACCTATATAGAATTTTGCCCTTAGGTTATAATAATGTTAAATTACCTATAAGATTGTAAATTGTTTGAACAGGAATAATATCTTCATATTCCGATAGAGTAAGAGCAGATCGTAATGCTCCATCAGCATTATTTGCTTTAAATTGTTGTTGTGCAAGTATATAGAAATGATAGGCTTCAGCAGGTCGCCATACATTATCAATTAATTGTGTATCTGATACACCACCTGAACCTGTTGTTTCTTCTGTTAACAAACCTTGTAAAGCATCTGATGCCTATTGAAATTTAATAGAAGGAAATTTTCAAAAATTATAAAGATTCAATATAATTTACAGAAATAGTTGCTGTTGATTTTTTTTCTTTTCGTGATGTTGTTTTCATTGCAGTACGATATTTTTCAATAAGTAATCCACATAATATATACATTTTTTTCTTTATTAATAATGGACGATTTTCTTTACTATGATTTTCTGCAATCTATAAGACAAAAACAAAATTGTTTTTTTTATAAGAAAAAGAGTTTTTTTTACTCCATAGAGAATTTTTGCAGCTTCTAAATAATTCGCAGATTTTTTATATAATTCAATAGCATCGAATGGTTTATTTTGACTAAGTAAAGTTTTTGCTTGTCGTGTTAATAAAGATTTAACGTCATTTAAATTATATTGACGAGCTAATTCTATACCCATATCCCATTGACTAAATTCAATACACATTTGAACAGCTTCTTGCACACGATTACACTAAATAATTAATATAAATATTTATATTAAAGACAATTCTAAACGATTTTACTCGTTTATATGCATCCACTGCTTGTTCAGATAAACCAACTGTAGCAAATGTATCTCCAATAGGCTGGAAAGACACAAATATAATTAATATTAATTTTAAATATAAATAAAATTTACTTTTAGTAATGGATCATTTTCTTGTAAAGAACGACTAAGTTTTTCTAATGCAGCATAATCTTCAACTAAAGCATAACAATGAAATGCTTGAGAATTATTTCCACTTTGTTCATAATATTTAACTGCAGTAGCCCTTTTTTTTGTTTTAAAAAATGAAATAGATTAAATAAAAATAATAAAAGTAACTAACCATTGTTGACGATCATAATAAAAATCTCCTAATTCATTCCATGCTTCATTTTGCATAGCATCACTAGCTACAGTACCTGACTGAAGAATTTGAACAACACGAAACCAATCACCTAATTTACGTCGTAATTGATAAGCTAAATCCCTAAAAGTATAATGATAAAATAAGTCCCAGTAGTTGCTAAATCTTTCAAAAACATACTTTCGATCCATATGTATATAGATTTTTTCCACTTCTTCATCACGTTTGAGAAATGCGGCAATTTCGGCACGTTTTAATTGTTCACCCTATTATATGTAAATAAATAAATATATACATACATATATATCAAGGATTAAACAACAGAGACTTCATGCCTGAAGTCTCTTGAAGTCTTTGAAATCTCTTGAAGTTTATGAAGTCTATGAAATCTTTTGAAATCTTAAAGTCCGCTGTTTCCCCCTTGATATATATTCAAAGAATTTATTTACTTGAAATTGTTGTAAACGTCTTAAAAATTGTAAACCATAATAATCATGAACTTTAACAAAAGCATGTTCAGCTACTTTAATATCTAAATGATTGAGTGCTTCTTCAGCAAGTGCACGCCTAAAAATTTTAATCCGTTTTATTTTATTATACTGATTATTTTCTTTACCATAATTGTGGATGAGGATCTTTTTCAATTAAACTGCTCACTTGTTCTAATGGTAATTTTTCACTTGCTGTTTTCATATCTCTCAATAACTGTACAAATAAAACAGATAATTATTAAAAATAATATTTTTTTTTCTTGTACTTTATTATCATAAATTGTTATATAATCTGATGATGGTGCTTGTACACCACGTAAATGCATTTTCATAATTTCATCAAGCATAACAACTTTAACTTGTAAATTATTATAATCACATACATAACCTGAACAAGGTACAGCTTCTTCTGTTTCAGTACCACGTACAAATGATATTTTTGTTTTCTCCATAATTGCAAATGAATCAGGAAGATCCTAGAAGAAAATTTTTAAATTCAAAAATTTATAATTTAAAATCAAATTTACTTTAGCCCAAATAACATTCCAGACATCACTTTTTTTAAAATTTGTTATTTCATCCCGTGGTTCTTTACTTTCCAAATCAATTAACATACAATTTCCATTAATATCAATAACAGACATTAATCTATATAGAAAATAGAAATCGAATTACAATTTGAAATTAATTGAAGTACTAACGTTGCTATTGGATTAAGTGCAATTTTACTTATATGAAATTGACATTCAATCTTTTCCATTAAATTACATGCGGGAAGTGAATAACGAAGAACAAGTCCAGATGATCGTGCCTAAGATAATTAATTTTATATATCATCTTATATTAGTTGATATAAATAGGCATGTAATCGAACGATTCGAGTTCGGGTTCAGAGTGGTTTGGATCGAATTCTAACAATTTAAGCATCGAAATGGTTAGAGTTCGGTCCAAACCACCCCTAACCCGAACGTTCGGGCTTCCTACATGCCTAGATATAAACTTACCACAAAAAACCATTTATCTGTTGCAGATATACTTGTAATTGGATCTTCTGTTTCCTAATAACAGAAAATAACGAATGAATCAATCTCTCAATCAACAAAAATATTCTTTACAATGCTATCTACATTTGCCATTAAACTTGATTGAAGTTCATCCCCTTGTCGTACTGTTGCTGGATCATCAATTTGAATAAATCTAAAAAGTAAGAAGAATAGAATATTAATTCCTCTTCTAAACCTATCGTACTTTTCAAATGGTTGTTTTTTAACCATTTGTGATCCGATAAAACCACTTATACCCCAAATATAAATTAATGATTTAGCTGATATAATTGCATAACTTTCTGTTACACAAATATGTACTGGTTGAAACGGTACATATTTTGATTCAATTGTAATACCAATTGAATTACATAGTAGAATAACATGTGTATCTGCTATTGCATTATTCATGGGTGGTGCTATACGTTCAACTAATGCACCAATACAACAATATGAACCATAACCACCAATTCCAAGTAAATTTCGAACATATCGATAATGAACCTATTGTTTTTTAATCTCAATCAAAAATTATTTATTTGAAATAAAATATTTACTTCATTTGTTTTTGTATTCCAAAATACAACAATATGTTCCGGTCTAGTACATGTATAAAATGAATAGATAACTGTATCTTGAATATAACACCACTATGAGAAAGAATTTTTATTTAAAAAACAAATTTTTGAAGATAAATACTTTATAATCTAATCGACAATTAGCAAAATAAATAAAATTATCAATGGCAATCACAATTCGAAGTGAATGTGCTTCCCATGCACAATCTGAAATTGTTTTACCCGTTACTTTCAATGAACGTAAATGCTAAATATACAACAACAATAAAAAAAAATTTTTATAATTTTAATATAAAATTTTTACTTCTCCCCATGGTGAATAAAAATTAATAAAATTATGTGTTTTATCTCCTGTTGTTTGATAACCAGCAACAGCTAACATGGAGCCATTATCATTCCATTTAATTGATACAACATGCATATCAACATCAAGAATAATTGGTGATGGATCATCTTCTCTTGACATTAATTGCATAGCACCATTTTCATAACATATAACAAGACTTTTACAATTTGCTGACATTAATCCATTACTTCCATCATACCATTCAATACCGGCTATTTCAGCCGATGGTACACCTTCGCGAATACAAAATATTTGTATTGGAGCCTAGATTAATGAATAAATATAAGAAGAAAAAATTTTTGTTTTTGAAACAAACTAGATAATTAAGTTTAACATCGTAAATATGAATTTCACCACGTACAAAACCAAAAAGTAATAAACGACTATCAGGTGACCACTAAAATAAATCGAATTGAAATATTGAAAGTTAAAAATATTATTTCTATACCTCGACTTTAGCTAATTTATTATTTTTTAAACTTTTTCCAGCTATTCTTGATCCTTCAACAGATCCAATAATCACATTTCCTAAATAAATCATTAGAAAATAATTATTTTTCAAAATTTTCTTTTCATTTTACCATCTTCATGTCCAATACAAATCATTTGTCCACTAAACACAAAATCAAAAAAACAAACATATTCAATTTTTATATAATAAAACTAACGTTGAATTCCATTTCATATCACTTATACGATTTTTTGTTCGATTATTAAGCATATCTTGTACAAATTCATTTTGTGCACTATCAACCCAAACGATAACTGTTCCATTTGAATCAGCTGTTGTTAATTTTCCAAAACGTTCATTCCATGCTATACTTGATATAGCATTTGAATGACCTTCTAATGTTTGATTTTTTGTTAATTGTGCTTGACCAGCAACACCACGTGATCGGGCATCACCAGCTATAGAAATTCATAAGTTATTAAAAAAAACAAAAAAAGAATTTATCTTATTCTTACTTTCAGGTATTTCTAATTTAAGAACTTTAACAAGACCATCAGCACAACCAGCTGATACATAACCATCTACTGCATTCCATCCACATTTTGTTACCGACGTCTCGCCGGGCATTGCAATACGTTTAGCAAGATGAACAAACATGATTTTATTGAACAATATTCTCAAAAAAAAGAAGAGTATAATAATTATATCCTTTTTTGTACCATCACGATAGATAAATATGTTCTTGTAACCTAACAACGATACCTATAAATACTCGCATTTCATTGGTTGATTTTCTCTCCAACGAAATAAAACATAAGTAATGGTAGTATAGAGGAATAGATTATTTTGTTTTTTACTTCTACTTCCAAGCACAAGAAAAAAAAACATGCAGTTTTGGCGTATAGCTGGTTTAAAGTTAGTTTTTATTAGTTCTGGTTAATATTTTTCTATGAATATATATGTATATGTCATTTTTAGCTATATTCAATATTCAGCAGTATGTGCTCGTACACTTCGCCGCTGTTTAAAATCATCTGTAGCAAAAGAAGCTATGAAACGTGAAGAATCATATATACGAGTTAGCAAATGGCAAGCTGGAAAAGTATCGGATTTAGTTCATCCAGCTAGTGAGTTGATTTTATTAATTTTATTTTCTATTTATTGAATTCTATCATCGTTTTTTATTTTTATTTCTAGAAGCGGAACAAACAGCATAGAATATATACCCTATTAATTATTACCATGGACTTTAGTGACATTATTTTCTTCCCTACAGTACACTGTTCCCCTTATATTTGTTTTCTAAAGTAGAAAAATAAAGTTTATTATTATTCTTCCCAATATCTGTGTGATTAAAAGTCAATTTTTCGATATAGAGATACTCGAGATTACAGACCTTTGATGATTGTAAATTTATTCATTTCGAGTTAGAAGAATATAGATTTTCGGAAATACATCTTAATCAGTTGTTTGATTATAATATGGAAACAAAGTACAACGAACATCTGTATTTCTCTTTATGAGATTATTTACAAATACGTTTCAATGTACTTGAGAATTTTTAAATACTGGTCTTGTTCAGAACAAGAAACTACATGAAGGCACAGACCAATATACCGACAGAATGTATGAATTCAATGTTATTGCAATTTTGAAATATAAACAAACTAATATTAAACTAGATTTTTTTGTATTTTATTATTATAGGAAGTAGCACCAACATTCGAATCTTTAATATGTTCTACTTATTACAATGTTGCATAAAAAAATATACCTTTGAATATATTCTATTTTAATATATGATGATGATATTTATTGGAGGTACATGTTTTAACGGCCTATCAAAAAGTATCCTAGGCGAATGGAAAACTAGAAATTGAGACCAAACTTTTGTGCTCTTTTCGAATATGGTCTCCGAAATGCTAGTGAGAAAATCATTGAAAAGTGTAAAAAGATAATTTGGACGGAAATTTTCTTTGTAAATAGTCATTATTGATGTTCAAAACTAAATGCTGAAAATTTTCCTTACATGTCAGCTTGTAGAACAAAATGTGATATTGAAGTCAACTTTTCTATTAAACGTATTTTCAAAAAATTCGATTGTGGTAGATGTAGCTCTTGAGAATATGGTTATAGTTTCACCTGTGTAAAGGCTACGTTTTACTTTGAAATAATATTTTGTAAAGATTTATTTGCTCTGCATAACTATCAAATTGAACCATTTTTAACACCTTTGAAAAAGAACTTACGGAGGTCACAAATGCTTGTTTGTTCACAATTCACATCAAGTTTCCAGAATGTTCAAATATTCCCTCATTAGTCTCCGGCAAAAATAGATACACTATTTTCAAGTATATAATTCCTAGTTTTTCATTCGTCTATCATATTTTTAAAAGAATGAAGAATTAATAATATACTAGGATTCAGTCTAATCACTACATTCATTATCAATTTAATTCGTGTTTATATCTTCACACATATATAAATCATTAACAAACTTCAATATGATTTGGAAAGTAACTTTTTCAAAGGACTTCTTATAGAATAGTTGGAAAACATAATCTCAATCAACAAAGTTAAAATCATATAAATAAATCGTTCCTTACAAAATATCTTTGCTTTCATATGCAAGTTATTCATGATCAATAATATTTACGAGAAAAAAACTAGATGCTATTCGAGTTTTATTCGACTCCAAAATGAGATGCGAAAACTCGATATCGAAATGATGATTTCATCTGATTTGAAAATTCAGACTACCATATGTTGAAAGAACACTGATGATTCATTGTTTAATAGTCTATAAAGAATACAAAAACATGTCTTGCGTTTTTATCCAGCATGGAAAAATCACAACTTTTTGTGTATTATGACGATTATAAACTCTGAAGATAAGCTTGTAACGATCGTAGCAGCATTCCATTTTAAATGTAGTAACAAAGCTCTTAGTGTAACTAGAACCAAGTCGAATAGAGTTCTATTACAGATAAACAATACCCATACTATAAGTCTAATAAGTACAAATAGTTTAACTAGGTTATTCTCAATTCAGCTCTATAGTAACACAGACGACTACATATTCTGAAAGAAACTACTTGAAAAAATAAGTTTTTCTGATTGATTTGCTTATTTTTATTTCTTTCTGATTGATCATATCTATATTTATAATTTATAAAGAAAGATTTTGATTTTTCTAATAGAACAAAAGCTGTAATATTTTTATTTATACTGATGCAGCTCCTAAAAAAAGAAACACATTTTTTCAAAATTTCTATAGTATAAAATTATACTAAAAATTCATCAACTATAACAGTGATGATGTAATTTTTTTCGTCGATTCATACGTCTGACTCTATTTCAAGAGAACAAATTTTATACCATCATATAAAATACTTATATTTGATTTTACGATCAAATGACAATTTAGTTTGAATAAAAATAAATAAATTCATTTAAACTTTGCTAGTTATTACCGAGAATACAATATCTATTTTATATCGATATAACAATCGTAAATCAAACTTTGTGTACAGTTGTTATGGTAATTCTGCCATTCTGTAGTTGACGACGTTGTTTTTCATTTTTCTTTCAACAAGTAATTGCAAAATTATGTGAAACCGATGACTAAACAAACATCTACTCATTTAATCGGAAGAAAAAATAATAACACATCATATAAATCTACGCAACACGCATTTCATAAACAGTCTCGAATGGCAAACCAAACTGTTGCCAGCTTTCATACGTTACCGGTAGAACTTGTCTACCGAATTCTGGATTGTGAATCGGATTTCACACTTATATGTTCAATGAAAAACATATGTGAACGATTCAATAGGATCTTAGACAGCTACGATCGATACCAGGTAAATTTTGTTTCTATCACAATAGTTTTATGTTTATCTATTGACTCCAACAAAATATACATGAATAAACTATTTCTTACTCAAAATAATTCATTTTGTTATATTATGATAATATGAACATAGTGTCCTTATAACCAAAAGAAAATAAATTCCTTTTTTTCTTTCTTTTCAATTTCATTTAAATATTTCACGTTTCAAACTAAGTATGATGTCATAAACATACAATGTTTACATAAGAACGAAAAAAAAGGAACAAAACATTATTATTTGCTTTTTGCGTGTATCAAAGCACC